CTGAAATCCGCAACATTGATACTTTTCTCTGATTTTCTTTTATATTTTGGATTCCACGGACAAATAGCTAAAACACTATATTGCTCAAAGTTTTATCACACACTGTATTTTATCAGATGTTTTGGTAATTCTAGCGTGCCAAATTTTGGTGGTGATACAAGACGAAAAACCACGAAAAAACAAATCGAAAAGCTTTCAAAATAGGTCGAAAAAACTTATTTTATGAAAGTTAATAGAGCTAGTTTTCGAAAAATAAAATACACCAAACGACAATAGTAAGTAAAATTAGCATCAGAACAGAAAATTCCAAGCGGTAAAAAAGTCAAAAACACCAGAGACCAAACCCTGCGAAAAAAATTTCGAAAAAAAAATTTAACCAAACAAAAATTTGTTGAAGCTCCATCCCCTCAATACGCAAACGCACACGAAGTTTTTTTTTGCTCATCAAGGAAATATGGGGCTAAAAATCCCATCTACTATCGGCTGAAACCTATGAAACTGAGAAAAAAGGGGAAAAAATGGAACTTTAAAACAAATTGTTAAAATTACAATCAACCTATAAACAAATTTCGATTGGAACGGATAATTAAAAAGCGCACATGGTCAAAAAATGTTCGTTGCCGTATTGTCAACAGGAGACCAAGATAATGAAATACTCCAGGAGATGACACCTGTGAACAATGTTCTTGACGGGGAAAAGTCTCTAGTATCCGACTTCAATATCCTTGCTTATCGCAAGGGTAAAAGTAAAATTCTGTGGAGGGAGCCAAATTCATAGAGTAGTTTTAATTTGCCTGAAATAACTCATCTCCAAATTATTGTTTGGCACAATTTTCTCAGAGCTTAAATGAATTGTCAAATAAAATAATGGAAAGTTTCAACGAGTTTAATGTGAAGGACAAGCTGAACTAAGCATTGGAAAAGGTACATTAAAAAATAAAACATGAAAAATCATAAGCTTTAAGAAAAGTTTTTAGGTAGACAAAGCTTAAATTCTGCCTGATCTTTGCTTTCACAAAACAGTTAAATACATTATAACTTATTAGTTGGCCATAAAAACACCAGGAAAAGCACCATATTCTCCTGTATTATTCATACGCGGAAACGCAATCATGGCTACTAACAGTTGGATGGGTTCTGTGTTAGTGGATTTTTTATTCAGCAAAGAACTATTCAGTTTTTAAGGGTTTATTCAGTTTTATAATCAGATCAGTAAATCAAACTACGTAAAATTACATCAGTTGCGGAATCAATGACGAATTGGAAGACACTTTCCTGAAGCACTTGTCTATAATATGGGGCTCATGGCAGAATTATTTTATTTTATTTTTTGATCATTTTTTGTTCTGGGGGAATTTGTTGTTTTCTACGAATCTGTTTTAAAAACATGTAATTAGGTAATTGAATGACGCATTTTTCGAAAAGTCTAGCAAGTATAGTTTTTACTTTTTGTTAAGCATTAGTTTAGAAGCTGGCTTTAGACAGTTTGAGTTTCCCCTTTTACAGAATGAAAAAACCAAAACAAAATACTCAAAATGTAGTGAAACAAAGAAACAATGAACTATAGCACTCAAACAGCGGTCATCCTCTTTAAGAAGCTTTTGCTTTCCCGACTTTGCTAAATGCCAACGCTGATTCGAATAGTTTGCGCGACATCATTTAGTAAATATCAAGCGCTCTAAAAACGCGGATGAAACACATAACACTGAATCGATCGCCGAGAAGACTGAGAGCACAAAAGTTAAACACAAATCTTTTTGCAGACTAGGTTGCTGAAAATTGAACTCGTTTTTGAAACACAGTCACAGGAAAACATTTCTGAAAAGTTTCAAACCATGTTTGATGATGTTTTTCACAAGTTTGTGCAATTCTATAGAATTATTTTTAACACCAAAATTACATCCAGTTCGGCGGTTATTAAATCGACGAAGTTTTCTGTCTTGGTATCGGATTAGGTTGAAAAACAGTAATTTTAAAATTGAAATTAATTTGTTTAGAGGCAACTAAGTTATAGAAAACTTCAAGCTATAAAAATTTTAACTTGACCCATCCTTCCTGAAACAGATAACAACAATTCAAAAAACACCATTCAAATTACGCAACTAAAATTGACTAAGCCGACAAAAGCCAAAAACCTATCTAGACAAAAAAAATTATTCTGCATTTGGAGAAAAATGAAAATCAACCATAAGAATTTTGCATGACACCTTAAATCTGAAAAAATTCAAGAAACTGATTTGAAAAAATTTATTACTACCTCAAGAGGTTGAATGAATCAAGAGGTAAACTTTTAAAATAAACTGAGCATGTAAGCCTTTGAACATGTCAATAGAACTGAGCAGGCTGGCAGAAAGGAGCATATCAGCAGAATTATTAGCAGAACTAAGCATGTCAGCAGATCTTATCAGACAATTTGTTTAAGGGAAAAAAGTTTCCGATTACAAGTCACAGGTGAAAAAATAAGCAAGTCTTATAACTGAAACTTGCCGAAGTTTCAAACAAGCCAGAAGGAGAAAACCTTTAAACCAAAAACACTACGCTCATCGATGTTTCTGAGCTTTCAATTTTTTTCATGAAGGTCAATGAGACCTACTATAAGATCCTTGTAGTTTTTTGCCGATAGTTGGTATTTTTGACAACAAACAACCTGATGTATTATAAATTGCAACAAAGGTGAAGCTGCACTTTGCAACCACAAGAGAAAAACCGACAAGAAAAGAAAAAATCTGAAGCAAGAAAAAAAGGCTAGAATATTCTCGCCATAGTCTCTTCACAAAACACTAGTCACCAATAAGACGGATAAACACAGCATGTTTTTTTATTCTGCTACCTAATTAAATTAAAAAAGGGTAAAGAACATTCTTCTTTGACTCTTAATTCAAAAAAGAGCGTTGTATTATATTACAATTCCTTTTTTTCCCAATCTAAACCGCCAATAGAAGCGCTCATTTGTTGGTACCTTCCCAGCATATTGATTGTATGTGTTCTGAAATTGCAGCAAAAGTACCACCAAAACAACAAATTTAGCTGCGAGTTGAGCTTAAACTTTTTTTTTCGAAGTATAATACTGCGCGAATTCAAGTGAAACGAACCAAAATTAAGTTCAAACAAAAATCGCTGTTTGCTGTGCGTGTAGCACGTTCTACCACTTTAAAAAAAGTACAAATTTTTTTTCTTTTTTATCAATTGTGTGTCGTTTTTTTTGTGATTGGTGTGATGAGAATACTATACAAACGCATAGTAATAGCGCTATTTAGGCAAATTTGACACGAGCTATCTTCAAAAGACAAAAAACAAACAAACCTTAGAAAAAATTATTTTGCACAATAATGTGTTTAAAATCTTTAGGAACATTTTTACTGCCAAAGAAGCACTAAATGAAGCCTCCACAATTAGTTTTTTAAATTCAATGAAAAGTTTTTAGTTTATTGGACCAATTTTTACTTAACGCGAACGTTACTCGATAGCGTTACTCGCTCGAAATTAGAGGAACTCTCAAAAATTCGAACCAGTTTTTTTTTTCAAAAATGTAACGACTTTCTGATTTTTTTGATGCTGTTTGATTTACGACTGAAAGGGCTTTAATATGATATATCACTCAACCCATTCTGATGAATATTTGTGGCACCTGATTTTGAGTTGAGATAGAAAAAAGCACACTGGTCGGAACAATAACCTACTTCATTATTATATTTCACAAAAGGTCGAACAAGTTCTAGTGATATAATTTCCTGAAATTCATTCAGCAATACTACGGGCAGCAACTGTTTTGCCGCTGTCGAGAAAACTGTATCATTTGGAAATAAAAGGATGTTATTCTCTACCTGTAATGTTGTTTCACACGTAGAGACCAAATAAATTACCCATTTGTCATCCGTGAATTAAGCTGCTGGTAAATAGTTTATGAAGCCTTTTTAAGTTCTTTATGCTCACCCACTCAAAAAAACTCAACCACTCTAAAATATAAAGAACATAGCAATTCGAAAAGAGTAATGAACGCAAGTAAACAAAAAAACACAGACCTTCATGAAAAATCTGAAATTTCGCTTTCAAAGAAAAAATAGATGCCCTTTAAGCTCTTAGAATTTCTAGATCTTCTTAAAAAATTGGAACTTTCGCTTTCAAAGAAAAAATAGATGCCCTTTAAGCTCTTTGAATTTCTAGACCTTCTTTAAAAAAATCGGAACTTTTGCTTTCAAAGAAAAAATAGATGTCCTGCTTTGCAATTTTTTGACAACATGAACCCATTTAAAGAAAACTGGATCAATAGGTAAAGTTTTCATTCCGCTGAAAATCTAAAAATTAAATTCCACTTTCAAAACTAGAAATCGCTTGTTTTTTCGCGCCATTTCCACGTTCGTATTTGGAGAGTACTATTATGTCACTTTCAGCAGATGAAATTCAATTGAACTGAAAAAGTGCATATATACCTAAGTGCATTCATAAATGCATCAATATGTATGAATGCACATCTGTAGTTATTAGAGACTTTTCCTTAAAAAACAAAAAAAAAAATCAGCAAGACATATAAGAGTTTTCATTGCGTTCATTACTCAAAAAATAATATAGAAAAAAATATAAAGAAAATGTTTTTAAAATTTTCAAATTAACTTTGGTCAGAAATTTCTGAGCTAGTTGCTCAATAGTAGATTATTCTGATTTATCCGAGAAGCAAATGCGTATAGGAACTAAGATTCAGGAGTTTTGCCGCGCAAATCCAGAAGCCATTCATAAACGTCGCATGCGGCCAATTATGAATCCAGTGAGAGTGATTTGAGCTGCACGAAAACTTTCAAATTTTTATTCTGGGTGTCGAGACAGTGTCGGAATAATTTTTATTTCGACCACTTATTTCGAGCGAATAGTGAATCGAAAAAATGTTTATAATGCTATCGCTCCCATTTGCCCTAATCGACTGCAAATTAGCCGAAACAATAAATAATCATGAACCTAAGGCTAGACCCCCCCCCTTTCATCCAAAAATAAAAATGAAAAAGAAATTTAACAAAATAATATATTACATTGCTTTGATTATGCACTTTTTATATACAAATTCACACTATCGACACTTTAATTACATATTGTGCATTGCTTTCTGGCTAGTCAAACGCGCGATTAGTTTCTTCAAAAGTCACTATCGTCTAATTGATCATGATTCCTGCCCTTGCATTCTCAACCTTCTTTTTGTATCCTGTGCACTTCATCGAAAGTTCACTGTGCCGGCTTCGCAATTCGGCTAGTCTCTGCTTCAAATCGGAACTCTCCGAATATTTTTCTTCGTAGTCCCGAAGCAGCGTCTCGTTTCCTAGCAGTCCGCACTGTCGGTTCAATTCTTGATTCTCGTTTCTCAGCTTGTCTCTATTTTGCTTTATTCGGGTCAGTGAGTCACGTTTCTGAGAACAAGTGACAGTAAGTTTGACTATGAATCTCAAAAATGGGCAATCAATTCGGTAGTCTACATATTAAAAGACGGTCGGCAGAAGCCTCTGCAAAAAACCTACAAGCAGCCAAAGGCAAATTCAGAAGCCTAGCAAAGCGTTTGAATGTGAGCATAAACATGACCTATCAGCAAATAAGCTTAAAAATTCACCTGTGCAACTTGCACGTCCAGTTCCTTTAGTTGCTGGCTGAGTTGTCCATTCTCCTGTTGAATGTACTGTAGTTTCTCTGAAACAACGTCACTTTATCTTTTATAGCCAGTGGATGGATAGAGAGAATGAATAACCTGCAGTTTCACTTGATTCGATTCAAAAGAATGCTTAAACAACAAGTTTTTTTCGATGTCTGATTCGGTGATTTTCTTGTGTTATTTTCTCGAGGTCAGTTCACAAATCGTTTAAAAAAGTTTGCCTATAAACAAGTTTACATCATGATATGTCGCGTCTACGCATTAACTAATAAAAGGGGAATTCGCCACAGAAAAAAAATTACAATTAGCCAATTGGAGTTCAGGATTTAAAACGTATATCCAAAATCGCCGTAACTCTCCAAAAACTCTTTAAATCACAAAAATTCTCCCACTTACGCCCATCGTCAAAACAATCCATCTTTAATCACACAGGTGACTTCTTACCCTTGAGATGTGTGAGGACCTCGACAGTGTTGGTGATCTTTTTCCTCAGTTTGCTCAACTCCTCATTCCTTTCCTCTATCTTTTCATTGTACGTCTGGTTCTCAATCTTCAGCTGCTCAAAGTCGATCAGGTGCAGACCCTCTGCCAACTCCTCCTGAAAATAGACCAGTCGCCTTTTTAATCCTATAAACATTTTTCGCTGTTCTTAACATCATCTTCAGATCTGAAAAACATTCTTAATTGAGTACCTTGCAATTTACGTTCTTCAAGCTAATGTTTCAAAATTCGTTAAGATGATTTTCCACGTTTCAGAAGTTATAATAATTTCTTCGGGAAGGAAAAACTCGTGAAGAATGATATCATATAAGAGCCCTTTCGGCCGTATTTCGAACGACTTTTTCATTGCCGTGGTTCGAAAATTTTCAAAAAACTGTCCCAGTACGGAGAAAAAAAATCGATTGAAAATAAGTTCTGGACTAATTTCGAGCGATTAAGCGATCAAGTAAAGCGATGATAACGTTTGTTAAAGTATTCATTTTGGTTTTTCTAAATGAAAACTAGTTTTGGAAGCTTCATGCAGCGCCTCCTTGGCAATCATTTTCTTAAAAAAGGGTGGCGCTTATGTCATTTAAGTAGTAGCACTTCACTTCTTATACTTGCCTTCTGCTTCAACTGTTTTTCTCTCTTCTGCAGTCTGTTTTTCAGTTTGATGTTCTCCAGCCTCACGGCTTTCACCTCCTGGTCTTTCTTCTGCTCATTCGAGATGTACATCTCTATCTCCTTAAACATACTATACACTGCACCACTTTAGCAGTAATCGGCCAAACATCCACCGTTGCACCACATAGTAGTAATGAGTTTACAAATTTAATGTACCAATGAGCAGCCAATTCAGAATCCACGAAAAGAATTTTAAAAGAAAACGACTTAAAAGTCATGTGGGTAAAGTTTTCCTGGTCTGCGATTTTTTCATGGTCACAATTGAATTTGAGGTGCAGAAATGCTGAGAAAATTCCTTCAATTTTTAGTTAGTTTTGGCGTTCAAAGCTTAAATACCTCATTTTGACGATTTGACTGGTTCATTTGTAAAAGTTATATGTAACCACAAGCTATTTTCCGATTCAACTCCACTCTCCTTCAAAGGAGGTCTGTTAAGGGTAATTGGTTACAACCAAAATAAACTATCGTCCTGCCAATGTCCACAGTATCACATCACAAACTGACCTCCTTCTGGAGTGGCTTGCCAGTTCTGGAGTTGATGGCCTTCTGAGCGATCTGCCGCCTCTTCTCCACAAACTCAGCCGCCATCCTGTCCAACTCCCCCTCCTTCTGCTCACACGTGTGCTTAATAGTCGCTATCTCTGTCTCATAGTTCTCCTTACTCTCACGCTGTTTACTCTGCAGCTCCTCAAGATTCGCTAAAGCACATCGACAACGATCAACTCGACCAGAGCTAAAAATTTCTGTTCATCTCCGTCACGAAAACATACAAAAAATGTTAAAATCTGAAGAATGTCGAATAAAATGAATTAGAGATGTCATTGGTCTTGTCTTTTAATCAACAGCCCTTTTCTGATTCATAGGATAAAAACAAAATATTCAACACGTTCTTAGACCACTTAGGTAGTATTGTTGATGCTCATGTTCGGGAAAAAACAATCGCAGTACGTGCAAAGCGAGTTCCATATTTTAATGGTCATTGTAAAACTATGGAAAGAAAAAAGCGTCAACTTGAACGTAATTATCGCAAAACCAAATCAGCGCAAGACTTGGAAAACTATAAGAACTTTGTTAATTAAAATAAAGAATTTTTCAATCTAAACAGCGTGACCAAAATTTTCCAAGATAATGACGTATAAACTTGATTCCACGCATTGAAGAGTTTAACTTCAACAAATATTTCGACTTAAAAAAACTTGGCCAATGACTTTGCATCATTTTTTGTAAATAAAATTAAACAGATACTAAGAGAAGTCAAAGTAAACTATATACTTTAGTAGAATTGCTCAACCGATCTTCAATGAAGAGTGAGTTCCCGGAAAGTCTAAAGTCTGGAACTATCTTTCCACTTCTGAAAGATAGTAAATTCGATGCTGGAGATTTTGGGCAACTATCGCCCAGTTAGAGAAAAAAATAACGCCAAGCAGTTAGTTGAGTACATATATCTCAGTAACACTTATTTAAAGCTGCAGACTGCACATACATGTTGAAGGTCAACAGAAACAGCTACTATGTCAGCAAAATTGCCCGGTTTTTGGATTCAAACCAGAAATTTTTGTTACTATACATTGGTCCAAGAGCAGCGTTTTACACGGTTTACAAAACGGTAATTTTACAGATTTTGGAGCAAGGTTAACCATTGGAAGAGCAGTCAAATCATATCTCAAAGTTATTTAGAAAATAAAAAACTGATACCATCAGTGCATGGAGTTCAGAAAAAGTATCGAGTAGCCTTTCTATGGCGATGATGGTGAAATGACTTTCTTGCTGAGTAGCGACATACATTTTGCTAAAATAAATGAAATGTGCAAAAAAAACTGCGCCAGATTTTGCCAAACTAAGTCTCAAAATGAATGAAGATAAAAAGAGATATCTTTCAGATGAAGAGGTCGATGGCGATGTCTATCAATACATGGGCGAGTGTTTTCTGATTAGAGATGAAATTGAATTATTGAGACTCTACATTGGTTGCAATATGACGTATGAACACCAAATTAACAATTTAAGCCGTTTTCTTTACCTACAACTTAGAAAGCTGTATTCGGTTGGATCATTTTACAGGCATCAAAAACCGGAAAAACTTTTGCTTTTATCGCAACTTTATCAAAATTGGATGATGCCAACTTTTATTAATGTTTAGCGAAAACAAGTTCCTTAATATAAATGTACAGGCTATTTCATATGTACTTTTCATCCTTTAATGTTTTATCTTCAACCAAGGAGTACTTGGACAACATTTAGACAATAAATACGAGTGTTCGACTCACTCATGAAGCTGAGGTATCTCTGCTCTAGGTCACTCACACTCCTGTCCACCTGGTCACCTCCCCTGGCAGTGGCCCCTCCCCCGGCCGGTCCCCCCTCCTCGGTCCTCTTGCGTCGGAAGTACTCGGAAAGTTTGTTCTGCAGAGTCGTGTTCTCCTGCACTAGTCCTTCTCTGTCTTTCATAGCTTGCTAAATTTTTTTAAAAAAACTTAGTCCCAGAGAAAACTAGAGATAAAGATGTGTAATACAATCAGAAACAAAACCCTGACTGACCTGGTAGAATTCGATGAGGGATTCCCTGTCGGGTACTTTTTCCGTCAGCGAGAACTCCTCGTCCATCTCACCGTCCTCCTCTCCGACGTCCCTCAACGCAGAGCCAGCAACATCTTCGTCTGCTTTAAAAGAAAAAGATTCATTTGTAGTCAACTCATTTAGCCCCGGCCCTCTCCACTTTAGGGCCATCCTGGGGTAGAGTGTCATCCATTTCGTCGAAGCTATTCCCACCTTGGGAAGGCGGATGCCATTGGTAAAACCACCGACCGTGACCGAAGTGGGATTCATACCAACAACGTAAGTGTTAAGAGTCGCGCAGCTTATTCACTCGGTCGCACAGCTTCAATGGTTCTCACAGGATTTTAATTTGTCTATACTATCTTCCTGACTTCACAGTTCTCTAACAAAAACTTTGAACTACTTATCAATCAGTTTGTTATGATGGTAGTTTTATTTAAATCTTCACGAAATTGAACATGACAAGTAAAATATCATTCCTACTAAATCAAACTAAGTTATTAACGGCAAAAAGCCTTGTAGTCGCTTGCAACACCCTTGCTAATCATAAGGGTAAAAAGTCTTAAAAGCGGCAATTATTTCATATTTAGTACTTTGACTCGCCTTTAGCGCCCATATCCGTGGGTGACCTGGTGTCTATGCGTTCTGGTGGACCCTCCGGCACCTCAGACAGTATCTCCGACGTCTCCTGCTGAAGCACGTTCGCATTGCTAGCGTCTTGATCCTCCGAGATGGCGTCCATGCCCGTTTGCTTAGGAGAAGCAGTTCCTTCAGGATGCGATACTTTCTCAGCCTCTTCTGCCGCTGCTTCTTTCACTTCAACACTTGCATTGTCCGCCTTAAACGCAGCCAGCTTTCAAATCACTTAGTAATGATTTCATGATGTCAGTCTATCCTTAAGCACACAGATATTGTAAATTATGCAAAGCTTTTCATTAGGATGGAGTTTCAGAAAACAAATCTGAGAGAGAAATTGAGAAACGAGAGGAAAAGAAAGTAAAAAGAAGTCGAGTTTTACGTACTTCATCAGCAGGTGGCTCCTCTTCACCTAAACAACAAACACAACCTCATTTAACTTTCATTTTAGCTTGTTGATAATTTCATGTCACTCAATCGAATACTTAAATGGTTCAATTTTTTCGAAAATTCAAAACATCGTAGACATTAATGTTTCTACAATCTTGTGTCATACATTATTTTACTTTAAGAAATCTGTGTACTTAACAAGACGGAGTTCAGATATTAAAAAACCTGACACGGGTTTTAAAAACGGAATAAGGCGCTCGAATTATGGATAATGGAAATCAAGACTAGGAGATAAAATTAACTATGGCCAGATTTTGCATTTGTAGACATGAAAACAATTTTCCCACCTTCAGTTTGTCCCTCGTCTTCTTCATTAGGTTTGCTCATGTCCTCACTGGCCATAGTCTCCACGAAGCCCTTCGACTCAGTCGTGGCCCCAGTCGTCTCCCCCTCCCCCTCGACTACTTCCGCCGATTCTCCGTCGTCCCCTTTCTCCGCCTCACCTCCTTCACTCTCTTTCTCTCCTTCGGCTGACTCCTCTTTCGGCTCTTCCTTGCCCTCGCCGGGTGTCTCAGCTGCTTCGACTGGAGGCTCCGCCTCTTTTACTGCTTCTGTAAAATAACCTAGTTACAGTTATATATTGCCAAGTTCAAACTAAGAGTTATCAAAATGAAATCAAGAATCTAATAGTAAGCCTTATTTAACTCGAATCCATCAACCAATATGAATAGACTATACTACGAATTTATGATCCTAGTAAAAATCTCACTGAAAGAAAACTATGGCCTCCTCTAAACAGCTTCAATGCTTAAAATAAGATTTAATTATATAAAATCCATTTTGAAAACTTTTCTGATCGTAACTACGCCAGTTATTAAACCCATACCAAGATTTTACTTAGAAAACCTCAAAATTTGAATAATTATTACACAGAAGCGAAGTTGCACTTCGCATACACAAGCAAAAATTTGACCGATAACGCTACTGGGAAAAACTGAATGAGTAAAACAGTCGTATAAAATTTCACAGTTATGAGTCTTTATAATTGCTAAGTGACGCAAGCCAATTATGACGCATTAACAGTACCAGTCAATTTGAAAAAAAAAAGAAATTTACCAACTAACATTCCTCAATTTATAGAGCGGACGCATTTTAACTAGTGTAAAAAACGTTCACTAAAAACATCCGACCCTACCCAGGCTCAAACCCTCTTTTTTGTTGCGGGTCTTTTTCCCTACCTCTACACTACAGATCCATTATGCGTTGAAGCATTAGTGCTGTTTGTAATATAATAGTCTGTGTTAATATCCATAGCATTGGCTGTTTTTAATAGCTGGTTATTGATCAAAATGAACACATTTTGTCGCAACAATATTTGCTTTGCTTGTGTAAAAAATTAACACATTATTTTTGACCAATTTAGGTGTTAAAAACTAGGTGTTTTTTGGCCAGAAAAGCTATCAAAAAATATTTATTCCCAAAAAAAAAAAAAAAACCTAGGATTCAATCATAGTCTACAAACGAAAAAAAAATCATTCTGGACATTTATCCATTCTGTTAGTGTACATTTGGCGAAGAAGATAAAATATTCATCATGATGAACTTTGACTGGAACCTTGTTCATCCCCTGTCTTGGTCTCCTCCTCTGTGGCGTCAATTACTGGTTCTGATACTGCAGCTGCTGCTTCATTATCGCCTCCTTCCTCCTCTTCTGTGATCGTGTCTGGTCTATTCTCAGATTCATCTGCCATTTGTTTTATCTTTAAGTTAAACAGCATATGAAGAATTTCAACGACAAAAACGTCAAGGACATAAAACAAATAGGCGAAGCTGCGCTCAGCAAACACTTGCGGGAACACGACCAAAAAGCAGCTCAATCAAGTGAAATAAGAAAAAGTAGAAATAGGCCTCGAATTAGCTATAACTCAGCTACGTGTCGGCTTCGAATCTGGACCTAGCAACTTTGAGTATCACGCAGTAACCACTCAGCCACGGATGCTTAAAATAGCTAAGATGCTTAAACTAGCCACCAAAACCCGAAATCGAGCTTTTTATCATTGTACTGCTGTTTCTGAAATCGAGCTTTTTGAAATTTCTGAAATCGAGCTTTTTATCATTGTACTCAGGGGCGGATCTAGGATTTTCTCGAGGGGGGGGGGCGGATTTTCAAAAAACTTTCGAAAATTTTGATGACCTTTTTTTAGGTCGACCAAATTGATTTTTCGAGCTCTCCCAAAGCATTGTTTTGCCTCAATTTTGGCAAAATTTCCTGCGCCGCAGGCAAATTTTTGAAAAACAGTAAAAAAAGCCGTTTTTGGGCACTTTTTGAAAAATTTTGACTAAACAATCGCGTTTTTTTGGCGCGCGCTCCCCCTTACAAAATAGTTAATATTGGCGCCAAAGGCGCCCTTAGAAAAATTTTAGGGTCGGTAGGCCAAAAATGGATTTATTAAAAAGTATCAAAGGGGGGACCCTTTGGGTCGGCAGGGGGTCGAATCCCTGAGGGGGGGGCGTCCGCCCCCCCCCACCTAAATCCGCCCCTGATTGTACTGCTGTTTGAAACAAATAACTTTTTTCGGTTCATTTGATGAATTAAAAATACATCAGTTGTGTTAACTTTTTTACTAATCAAATGTCAAAGCGCATATGATATTATACAGCTACCGCAGCCTAACGATTCAAAACTGCCACCAAAAGTTGCACTTTTTTGCGATTTAGTTTGGAAATAAAGAAATTTCATACTAATACACTTTCCTTCGCAAGTTTAATGAACCAAATTTTCTACCACATTGATTCGTTTCTTCTTAGATTTTACAAAAGGTATTTTTCAGACTTCAAGTTTCATATGATAGCAATTATTGGGTTATTGGGTAAATAGTCAATTTTGTTTGATCTGAAATGTTAAGATTCGATAGCTTTGAAAAAGACGACAAATTAATTAACTTATTTTTGCAGCTGAAAGCGTCAGTTAGAAAACTTTTCAACGTATAATGCCAAATTTTTGCCAATCCTGGTCTTCTATCCTCGGAGGTGCATACAACTTAGAAACGTTGTATCTATCAAGCAATCCTAATCAAACTGCAGTTTCAGTATCACAATAGTGGTTGAAAATTAGCTCATCGCTTCTCATTTCCGATATCTTCGAAAACAATGAGCTACAACAGTTTTGGCAATTTGCAAATGATTTATCGAATAATGAAGCGTCTCGTGGTTATTGGGATGCAGCTATCTTATTCAAACTTCAAAAATTGAATCCAAAATTGCGATCCATTCGGTACATCCAGCGAACTTCTTCCTCAGTCTGCGATCTATCCAAGACTATAAACTACCGCCCAATACGGAACATTTTTAAGGAGCGATGACCTGATAGAGCATGGCATTTATGACACCTAACGTATGTTTGTCTTGAAGTCTTTGCATGAAGTCATCGACTCGTTCCCAATCTTCATAACAAAAACAGGTCACTAAATACTGAAGCCTTGATTGAGTCTCGGGTAAACTTCCCAGAAAATCTTGTAAACAAAACTGTTTGGAAAGCCGAAGATGATAGACTCCAACTTTGAACTTAGCTGACAGAAAAACTACTCACTCTTCCAGAGTCATAGCTCATAAAATAAACCTTGCACAAGAGCAGTCCATTAAGTCAGTCATCCATACAAGATAATTGAATTTTAGATACAACCAAAAAGTCATTAGTTAATGGTAGAAAAAAAATTGAAAAGATTGCAAATAAATCGTTGAATATCAATATTTCACGCATTTCATTCTCTTGATGTTGTGGCCCTTCTCTGCCACGCATTGTGGATTCCGTTAACACACAGAGAACTTTCTCGGTGACATGTTCTGGCAGAAAAATCGTTTTCTCGCTCATCGAACTCATGAACACTAATATCTGAAACAAACTCTAGTTGATCAAACAACAGCAAGCAACAAAATTTTGACCTATCTTTTTCTAAATGACTAACAAAACTACAATTACTCTGACCATTTACTATAAAAAAAAATGAAAAAGAAAAGATGACAAACAATTTTTTCTCAATTTTCCCTGCAGATTTGAAGTATCTATCTTAAAAATAAAATATTAATTTCACAACAAAGTAGAAGTAAAAACTGATGCAATTAGTTTATAACATTGAAGCGTTTGCCTAGAATTAACTAACGCAGGAGGACGAATAAGATATAAGATCTACTTGATTGTAACAAAATTGTGAACACGTGTTACTTAACTTAGGGACTGTCGATAATCAACCAGTCAGCTATGATTTGAAAAAATACTAAAACAATAACTATACGTCGGGAAACGATGCCAACTCGGCCAATACCGTTGCTTTATTTTCTATTTTATTGATTTCGTCTGCACTGAGAGTATCTCCGTTCTTTTTACGTTCTTCCAGTTTGGTTATTTGTCCCAGTTTTTTCTTCAAGTTCCGAACTTGCTTCCGGACATCTTCGGGGACATCGTTTGCACTCTTGGCCGACCCTGGTTTATTGCTCGAAACATTCTTGGTTCCACTCTTTTTGGCAGCAGGTGGCGCGTTGGCTACCGGTGCGACAACAACGTTTCGTCCAGAGACAGTTGCTGCAGCTTTGATTGGGCCAGCTGATTGCGTTTTCCCTTTGGGAACAGTCTGCCAGCTTGTATCAACGGGTGGTGACGGAAGCTGTTCCTCGTTGAATATATCACTCGGGTAGCTTAGAGCAGCCACATTTTTGACTTCTGGAGCAGGCGCAGGTGGAACTTTAGCTGCCTTTTTCGTAACGCTTTTCTCTTTGGCGTCACCACTTCCTTCTTTCTCTTTAATATTTAGCTTATCCAAGTCTTTCTGAAGCCGCTCTTTTTCTTTCTTTTTGGCTCTTTTCTGAGCACTTTTGCTTTTCGGAATACCGTCATCTCCTCCGTCAATAAACACAGCTCCCGGGATTTCTTTCCTCGGAGGCGAAACATCGTGCAATCCTTTCATATGATGAACATCAAATGGTTTGATACTTGGCGCTACGTATCTGGGTACTTCATCTTGTGGAACATATCCGTCCTTGATCTTTCGCTCCGGTCTCCATGATCCATCACTGCGTTGAGATGCAGGTAGGTACAGCTCTCCGTCTGTTTTTCTGATGGCATTCGGATGGTCCCCACTAACTATCGCAGTGCTGGCCATTACTTCATCTGAAGCCAAAGCAAATCTATTTTAGAACACATACTGTAGCCGCTTACGGTTGGAGCAAATTGTAGAAAAAAAATTACACAACTGCATGTAAAAGTCAGACAACTCAACCTCTTCTGCTCAACCTAAGAAGTTACTAGCTTCGATGCTCTCAGGTTGTCGAGATACCTGTTTTTTGGCAAGCGTGATGTGATCTGAAGCCCAATTCGACAAAAAACATCAAACGCTCAAAGGCCAAATCAAGAGATGAATAATCCAAAGACTAAATAAACAAAATCTGATTGGCTGAAAAGATTTCGCAACTAAAACTGACACTCATTCACAAGTTTGACTGCAACTAGCAGCGTACATTCTTTGTGCAAATAGAAGAAACAAGTTCAGCCGTTTCTTTCGGCCCTGCCTTAGCGCAAGTGGATCTCGATGGACAGGTTCCTTGAGCCAATCCTTTACCGTCATACTGAGCCAAATCACAGATAGATAAGTATTCGCGCTTAAAAATCAGCTGTCATGTTGATGTTTTGTATTCCCAGTAATACTCGAGGGCATAATCATCATTTTTCTCTTTTGTTAGAAGATAGTCCATATGTTTCGACATTTTGCACAATCGCAGCATGGCTGCCATGAAAACAAACTGCTGTTTGAAAATCGTTCGTTGGCGTCTTTCCACATGAGGGCTAAGATCAGTTTTTTAAGGCCTTTTGGATTTCGAAAACTCACGTGTGCATCAATTCGGTTCGCAACTTTGGCTGTAAGAAAAACAACGTCAATCAATTATATAACTAGCACTGCTTCGTAACTAGCACCAATAAAATATTTTGAAACTCGAGACTCCCCCCCCCCCCCCACCCCGATACAAACATTCACGCAAAGGTACCGAGCTATAATAATCAGCCAAATACGGCAAACAAAAAGTAAAACAAAAATATAATGATGCAGAAATGGAGTTACTTTATTTTCAATCAACAAAAATTCAAACAAAAATCTGTCTGGTTGCTGTGATAAATTTACATAGATGCGAATCAGAGCCACTCAAGATAGCATTGCAAACATAGCATTGCAAGCTACCAAAAAAAAACAACAAAGACTTCGAAATTTTGTCTAGAATGATGCCCTATTTGAGGAAAATACGCCCAGAAACAAAAACGCTGGCGTTGAATAAGTCTTCACTAACATTCATCGAGCGGCAACTAAGCCAATAAAAGCTTTGTACACTCTCGTTGAGACGAAAGCAAAACGTTTTCAGGAAAAACGTTTTGAAAACTCACGAAATTTGACGCCGCTCCTCCACCCTCCGGAAAGACAAAGATGAAAACATAAATTCTACTCTTCTGACGACGTAAAATCAAGTCACTGAGCCAAAACAACGAGGTGAAACAATTGAAGCGAATATCTCTTTTAACCAAAAAAAAAATACAAAAAAGATTTAAATTTACAATTACAGGAATAAATAATTTTATCACTAACAACGGAAAATTGCTTTCAGCTTAAGAAACAGTGATGTGGCAATTAAACCGACAACGCATAAGCAGAGAAACAAAGGCCGAAAATTAATTTGGAACGGATTATTTCGTTTGAAAAAAAACTAGTCCTGACCAGATTCGAGCCCAGGACCTTACTCCAGGCACAGTCGTTACCTCTAGACCAAATGTTCCAGAAATTTGTACTTATTTCATCAAATGATTCAACTGATTTTGTTAAAAAATGTTATTCCGAACACAGTCTATATTCCAATTTGATGACGTTTGCTTGTCACAAGCGTAATTAAAATTAGTTGCAAATTATATATGAGGACGATGTCAACCCGATCGAGCAGGCTCCATGTCAGTAGACTGATATCTCAAAAAAATGTGCCGTTCCACCATTGGAATTGAACCCAAACGCTCGCGTGAGGCATTTTAGAGTCCGGCAATTGTTTATTATTGGAGCTAGCTTTCTGATAAATACTCTGAAGTGCGTACCATACCGAATTTGACGACAGTTGTTCGTAAAAACCTACAGCATCGGTGGACTAAGCTTCAATCGGAACAACAAGAACCCACTGAAGATTCTACAGAACCATCTCACAGGACGGGGTGTGCTTAACATAAAATTCAAGATAGTTACCTGGCGCGTCATTATTAACAATATGATGTGTTTAAAATGTCCAATTCAAACGTTTTCTTACAATTTGTGCATCATCAGGATTAGATTTTTTAAACTATTTTTACAGAACGATCAAAAATCTTGAAAAAGGGACAAACATAAAAAAGCTCATAAAATTACTGAGTCAACCAAAATTATATAACTGTAATTACTTAAAATTACGTAATCTTTAATAACATTTTCCTATAAATTTTCAGATTTTTTAGTTTTCTGTTCGTAATGTTTCATTCCCCCGGATTGGCACAGTCGAACCTGCCGATGAACGTCAAAAAGAACGGAGAGATAACGACGTTATCTCCGGGAGAGTACAGAATTAGAGGCCTGTTGCCCAGAGACTGTGAGAGACTTTAAACACACATTTTAGCTGCTGTAATGCCCTAACGTATTTAATTTACTCCAATATTGTTTAGCAATTCAGTACATGAGCAGTAAGAGTTGAGGACAGGGTCAATCCATCTCTAATGGATTTAATATATAACTGTCACTAAAAACATTAAATTATGGTTTTCTAGACGCGTTTTTAAAAGTAACACGTTGTCTGGGGATCTGAGACCCAGCTATGTGATTATTTTCGCAAGTAAGCGAAGGCTGATCAAAATTCGTTTGGCCGATGGCCTAAAAATGGTAACATAGGGTAGGTCAAGACGGTGAAAAACGAGTCAGCCAGTCGTCAATAGGTGCTTTTTCTACGCTCCATCAATGTGTAATGTCTGGGCGAATGTTACATAAATTCTTATAACATTTCGTACTGGGAATATTTCCGAGTCTGAACTGTCAGTTTGATGAATTTTAGCCATGTTACACATGGACCATAATTTCAGAAATTAAGTTTTATAAACTTTAGCCACGTTTAAACCTGGACTATAGTTTAGCGTTGAAACAAAAATCTCGAAACTACAACAAAAATCTCGAAAAAGAACAAAAATTACACTGCAACTAGAGCTTAGAAGGATTGTTGTCAATACTCAAGAAACACCAGGACAGAATCGAGACAATCTTGTACACGGGGAGAAAATCCCTTGCTGACATCTTCCGAGAGCTGCGGAACTGAAATTGCAGATCATTATCTGACAGGCTCAACAAAATTCCATACCGAGCTGCAAAAGCAAGGAGGTCAACGTTTTAGCAAACCTCGGAGAAAACCATCCATCGCTGGCACTTGGCGCCCATCTTACAACTATTTGCAGGAACAGTGGTGGTCCTTTATAAGACTTGATGGTGACAGAGGATATCATCAAAAATCAGGAAAAAGGAGTCAAAGAAGAAGAACAGAAACAAGGAGTCGAAGAAGACGAAGAAGTTAATAAGTCAAAGAGTGAGCGCCAGTGAGAGAAGAATTGTCAACCGGAAATCATTTAGAAGTAATTTCTATTTAGTTCTGTACTTCGTAGATAGTAACTTCGTTAGTTCTGGCTAGATAGTAAATGAACTTACTTAAACATACATATTGTGAGAACCTCGCATTGGTGATCTTCAGTTGTTAAAAGGGGCCGCAGTGAGGATTCATCTAGATTGACTCTTTCCTTTTATTTCAAACTATTTTCCCTGCAATTAAATATGCCTGAAAAACCGAGAAACCAAGCAGTTAAATTCCCTTGCGGGAAATGTAAGAATGATTGCAAAGATTAATCGTTTTCCTGTTTCAAGTGCGGTGACTGGTATCTAGCTGGTGATTGCTCAAGAGCTGCATCAACCATCTAGCGCGCCATGCAGAAATCACCTGGTTTATTATGGTTTTGTAAAATATGTGTAAAAATAAATGTTTCTGAATGTTGCATCTCTTTTATAGATGTCACAAATACTAGCGTTCAACGCACCTTCGGTGCTTCGAAATTTTTCGACAACTCATGAAAAAACGCACATATTGGAAACAACATCTGCAAACTTTTAGTGTACTCTGACTGCACCCAATTACAGGGTTGGTAATTTCGAAATTTTTCAATTCCCATTTTAAAAGCGGCATCCTGAAAACTTAAAGGGCCTCTGGAGAAATTTGGAGGCCAGATTTGCAACCACTGGGAGTCCCTGAGAGCACCCTACTATAGGGTTAGGAATCCAAAATTTTGTGAATTTTTTTAAACCTAAGTTTCCCGAAAAAAAAAACTGAAAAAACGTCTTATCACGGAAACTAAAAGGATTTGAGCATTCATTTTAGGAGGCAAGATTTGAGACGCCTGTGTGTACGCTGACAAAAAGGTTGTATCTTCATCAAGTTAGTAGTTTCAAATTTTTTGAATTTCTTTGTTGATCAGTTCTTTGAGAAACTTTGAAAAAATCAAAAAACGTCACATCTCGGAAACTAAAAGAATTTGAGCAGTCGCGTTTAGCAGTCGCAAGTGGCAAGATTTGCAATTCTTTAGAGTACCCTGATAACACCGAACTATAGCGGATGGAATTTCAAATTTTGAAAAATAATTAATTTAAACTTTGAAAAAATCACAAAAAACGTCACATCTCGAAAACTACAAGGATTTGAGCAGTCATACTGGGAGGCAAGATTCGCGATCCTTGATAGTACTCTGACAGCACTCAACTACAGGGTTGGGAATTTCAGCTTTTTAAAGAGTATAAATTAAATTAAGTTTTCTGAAAACTTTTGAAAAAATCACAAAAAACGTCATATCTCGAAAACTACAAAGAATTGAGCAGTCATATTTGGAGGCAAGATTTGTAACTCCTTAGAGTACTCGGACAGCACCCAACTACAGGGTTGGGAACTTCAAGTGTTGTAAATTATTTTGTTAGAAATTTCTGAAAATTTTTGAAAAAATTTCAAAAATCGTCTTATCTCATTAACTAAAATGATTCGGGCATTCAAAATTGGAGGCCAAATTCGCAACCCCTAATTCGATATTGGAATGCTTAATTTAAACTCGGTAAAATAACCACTAACATCAAATGGGAAAATCTAAAAAAAAATCTTAACCATTGCAATATACGATATAGCGTAAACATGCAAAAATAATACGTTGAAAAAGCATAAACATGGCGAGATAGTGAAGCCCGCATTTAAATATATAATAGAATTTCATTTATTTTTAATTTTCAGTATCTGATGATGCTAACACATTATGCGAAAAGCTTTACAATTCATTCTTCAACATTGATCTTGGTTTTCAACACGCATAAAGATAAAGAATGAAAAGCTCGAGCAACAAGAATGTGAACAGGAAGTCTTGAAGAGGCGCAAAATCAATCTGGTACTTTTTATTGTACCCGAAAGCAAACAACAGAACTCAGGAAAACAAGAAAATAATTGCCTTGCAATCTTTACTGACTTTTGCACTCAAGGTCCTAAGCTGTCAGATGACCTTCTCACAGAGGTGGAGACGGTCATCCCTCTAGGAAAGGCCGACAATGAGAACTCGAAAACAAGACCAAAAAAATCGGGTTTTGGTGACAAACTGATTGAAAAGAAACAACCAGTAAAAGATGTTGGTCTGACCATAAACAAAACCCACCTTGGCGTGACTATGCCAAATACAGAATCGGCAAAGCATTGAAATCCTTCTTTCCCCTGCGACGAAGTACTTCTCCGCTGCTATCGATAGAATCAATAACGTTTATAGAGAGCTGTTGTTTGCATTTGAGTGCTGGGAACTACGATGATCTGATTACCAATCAATCGAATCTTTTCACAAGGTACCAATGAGATGGATGTGGAAAGGTTGGATATAGGCTGTTTAAAACAATCGTCCTACCACTGCTATACTTCAAAAAATTGAAAGACTTACAGATGTTCATTAGTTTTTTCAATAAAAAATACAACGTAGAAATTTCAGATGAAATGAAGATTCTTGGTAAAGGCAAAAAATGAAGAGCAATTATCCCGGACTTAATAAACGAGTTGCAGAGATTGAAATTCTGAAAAAGGTTGAATCATTTTGAAATTAACTGGATTCAACAGATCCCATGCGCATTGATTGTATTTGTTTTTGTGAAAACTTTTGTGCAAAACCTAGACCTTTAATCGCACGGCTAATACCTCAGTGACAAATCTACAAAGTCAGAGTAAATATTATAATCAAAATCATAAAAACTTAGAAGGCATATTACAGAAGAAAAATGTGGAAGAAAAACAGAAAAATTAAATGGGGAACTAAATCAATTGGTCGAATTAAAAATTTCGGAAAGCAGGCCTTCAAAGCCCGAAAGCCAAAGGAAAGTATCTCTTCTGAATCATATCTCTACATAACTAGACAAAAACCATTCCAAAAAATTCATAAACTCTAATCATGTAAACGACGACTCTGGAATTGACTTCTGTATTGCAATTATGTTATTTAAGTAAAGTTCGAAAACTTTTTCGGTAGTCAATTGGTTCTTGTCAAACCGGAGAAGTTTTTGGACCATATAGTCAATTTAGCCTAATTGTTGTGATAAACTTATTAAATAGATGAAGCAAAAGTATGACTGCGACTGCTGTGCCCTGATGGAATTGAATGGCGCCCTCTGAGGGATTTTAGAGACAGGTCTGTCAAGTGGCTTTCTGTGGGGAGGTGGGAAACTGGAACTGGCTTGAGGAGTCTGGTGGTGCGCCGCTGGACCTACTGAGCTCGGGTGAGATTGTTCCTTGTTTTTGATTTTTATAATTCGATTTTAAAATTTAAATTAATTTAGTTGTCTTTTTTTTATTTGCTGATTTGTAAAATTTCCACTAACCGCTTATCATGGGTTAGTTCAGTCGCCCTCTACATAACGTTTATGCTGCGTCAAGATGAGGAAAAACAACAAAGAGTGTACAAGCAAAGATTGCTTAAAACCTTCAGGACTCATAAATTGGATTAGATGTGATTGTTGTTCTAGTTGGTATCATATCAGTTGTGTAAATATTTCTCTTAGCGACTCTAAGAAAACCCAATGGTTTCAGTGTTTTTTTAAAAAGAATTAATTCTTTAAAATAACCAAACATTATGTACAAATGTATGTACAAAATACAAATATACAATGATGAAAAGGGAAAGGAAGCTAAGACCAGAAAAAATAAAGGCTCAGAGATTAAAAAAAAATGTCTTCAAGAGAGTCAGTGGGCTTTATTGTCCCAAGAACGGATGCCGCGTTCCCAATCTGAAGTGCTACTGAAATACGCTGTTTTAAGAAAGATGGTGCACGAGTTTCATGGGTGGCATCAGTAAGGCGTCTACCAAGATCACGAATAAACCTGAGGGTGTCACTGCCGCATTCTCCCTGTCTCTCAAAGGCAACTGCCTGGAAAAAATATCCATCTCAGACTAAAGGCTCATATTTCTTCGCTTTCAGATCTTCAGCTTCAGTTGCAGCTTTACCGGCATACAAGTCACCACCATGGAGCCTGGAGGGCGCTAAACCATCTACAACCGTGGCATCCCAGACGAGAGAAGACCCACGAATCCAAGGAATCAAAGATAGTCCATCAGGTCTCTTGAAATCAGTGCGGCTAAGACCCGGTGGTTCCAAAATGGAATGTATTTGAAGAGTGCCAAGTGAATCTTCAATAATTTGATTCAACATAGAGTGCCTGGCGAACCTCCCAGCGCTGCGAGAACAAGACAAACCATGCCAGCCCGAGCGGTCGACTGACTTGCCGCAAACACAGACATGTTCAACGCACAGAAGAGTCCCGAGTCGAAGGCCGACCGAGATTCTGAGTTGAGAATTGGTGAGTTTTAAACCTAGTGACTAAAAGGCAATGCATTCAACCAAGCAGCAGGAAGTTTACCCTGAAAGCACCAAAAACGCTTCCTACCAATGTCATCAAGACTATCAAGAAGTTCGGAAGATAACATTTTGTAGATCGGAGCTGTCCAAGACTTCTGAAGCTCAGGTTGTGATGGCGCATTCTGTAACCCTGTTTTGGATGACCAAGAGGCAAAAGCCAAGGTAATGTCCGCATCATCGCTGATGTCAAACTTACTAAGAATGGTTTGGGTCAGCCTACCAAAACCAATCGCAGACGCAAGAAATGCAGGAAGCGCGAGATGGAAAGCAGACATCAGACCAAGACCACCAGAAGAAGAAGGCAACAGAGACTGCAGCTGGCTGTTAGCATCGAGCCTAACATTGGCACATCGAGAAAGGGCGCTCACAACTAGTTTGTCGTACTCACGAAGAAGATCCTCCTCCTTGAAGCAGCACGCAGTTCGCAAAAAGTACAACAATTTGGGCAGACTCAAACAGTTTCTAAGCAGAAAAAGCGCGTGGTGGCCATCGACGTTTTCGAGAAAGTCACACATGTTGTCGAGTTTTTGTTTTTCCCCAGTAAGAAGTGTCCTTCTTGCTTCTTCGCCTATAGGAGCACCAAGGATGACAAGGTCTTTAAGATCAGTAACTTCAATCTTCGGACAGATTCGATTAAAATCAGATAAAATCGAGGCTTTAAGGTCGTCGTCAGGGCAACCCAGAAAGACAAGTTCGCACTTAGACGAGTTCAGTTCAAGACCAAGGTTTGCAGCAGCCTCGATTTTTTTTGACAAGTCGGCTAAAGCAACTCCAGCTCTGTCGCCCAGGTTCCCATCATCAAGATACCAAAAATTCAGGAGCGAGGAAAGGCGATCGATAATGTCCATGATTAGGTCCGAGAAGAGCGGTGGGCCCTCGGGATCCCCTTGCTGGACGCCAACTTCCGACATAATAACAAAACTCCCGAAAAATAAATAACTCGGAGTTGCGTACGCTAGAGCCGAGTAATTGTAAATTGCCGGTGACTTGACTTCGACGGTGTCCAGTAGTTTTTCTCGCGAGAAGGAGTTGAAAGCATTGCGGAAATCAATCTTGACGATAACAAAATCTTCCGGAAGGTCAGTAGACACCAAAGTTCTCACCGCATGCGCCGCCGCTTCAGCTCCTTTGTTACAGCCGTAGCCGAGCTGCAGATGCCCATATCTCGTCTTGCGATTAGTTTTCTCAGTAATTCCCGCACACTTAGAGACAAGTCGCCGCAAGGTGTTGCCTACAGCGATAGGGCGCACACCACCATCTTTTTTACCGAGCGCAAACAGGTTGGCAGAGAAAAAGTACGGTCTCAAGCATGGAGGAATGTTCCCTGGCGCAACAATGTTCACAAAGTGAGCAAGCCTGGCTAGAAGATTTTTTACCAAGTTCCCCAGTGGCGGGCGAAATGAGGTCCTTCAAAATCTGTGGAGTCAATTTATCGGGACCCCCGGCGGAACCGGAAGGGAAAGAGAGAATGCACTTTTTAACCAGTTGACTTTCAACTTGAAAGGATTCATCAATAAAAACATTATGGGTAGTTTGGTGTTCACTAGTTGGGTGTTTCTTTTTCAGTTTTTTAGTGTTTCCTCATTGATTGGGGAAAGCGTGTCATCCGAAGACGCAATTCGAGCAGCGGCTTTTATGTTTCCGTCATTGATCTTCATGCTGACAGCTTTAGCCCTAACTTCGTTGTCACTGAGCTTCTTATTGGGTTTAGTTGGAACTGAAATAAATTTCAGTGTCCTTTATGCGTTGATGTAAAATCTGTTAATAAAGCAACAATAGGTAATGATTTAGTGCTAGACAATTATGTTAATACAGCCATCTCAAATGTCCGAGTACTCAAGAGAGTACCAAAAGACTCGCGTGTTCCCTTGGCGGAAAGTCTGTCGGACAAAATAAATGACATCGTCTACAATGTAGAAGATGTTACAAAATGGCTTATTTTTTTAACGTCGTTCTTGTTTTTTTTTGGAGCAACCGAAAAGAAGTGGATGCAAACAGACCACAAGCATGAGTTCTTTGATAAATAAAAGAATTCGAGCAAATGACGTGTCACTTCCAAAACCCCATCCCCAAGTTTCAAGCCCGCCTCTGAGTGATCTCGAGCAGAGAATAAAGTTAATAAGTAGTAAGCTCGATGAAGGAAATGTACAGGGAGGAATAAGACTTGCTGCTTCGGATGACAAAATAGCTCCTTTTTCAACTGATAACTATCAAAAATTGTTGTCTAAGCACCCGCAGCGAGCCAAATTTGCAGCTCCAAATCCAGAAAAGTTGGATAGTTTTTTCGTAACCGATTTCGACATATACAATGCGATAATGTCCTTTCCAAACGGATCAGCAGCAGGTCCTGATAAAATAATTCCTCAAATTTTTAAAGATATTGTTAGTAAGTCGAATGGCAGTGCAAGACTTAATTTTCTGAAATCGCTTACTAAGCTGATAAACCTCATTGGAGATTGCAAAATACCCGAACCACTAAGACCTTTCTTTTTTGGCGCAAAGCTTATCGCCCTCATAAAGATAGACGGAGGGTTGAGACCGATTGCCATATGCAACACGCTGAGACGTATCGCGTCTAAATGCGCTGGAAGTAAGGCCCTCTCCGAGCGACAAAATTTTTTCGGAAATGTACAGGTAGGATGCGGTACTAAACGAGGAGCAGAAATAGCTGCGCAGTCGTTTCGAAACCTAATTGAACGCGACGACAATTCAAAATGCACTTTTCTTTTAAAACTAGATTTTAAGAATGCCCTTAACTCTTTAAACAGAGAAAGAATGCTGAATCAAGTTTATTCAATTCGCCCCGAATGGTATAATTACACCCATTGCGCGTATGGTAAACCTAGTTACCTTTTTTACGGAAACTCTGTCATAATGTCAAAAGACGGAACTCAGCAAGGTGATCCTGAAGCCCCACCACTTTTGCGGAAATAATTCATACACTAGTCAAACAGTTGGAGTCGAAAATTAAAATCTGGTATTTAGATGATGGGAATTTAGCCTACCACTATAAGGTAGTACTCCGGGACCTTAAAAACATTCTGAAATCGGAACAAATTTACGGCCTGAGCTTAAACACTGAGAAGTGTGAACTTTGTTTTCTGGGACCGACTACTAGTTCACAGTATAATTCAATTTTAACACAGTTTCGAAAAATATGCCCCAAAATAAAAATAAAAACAAAAGAAGAACTCCTCATTTTAGGATCTCCAACTGGCGAACTTTGCCGAAAAGAATTGCCCGACGAAAAAATTAAGGAGCTTGAAAAAAATCTCGGATGTCATTGACAAACTAGACGCCCATTATGGTTTTTACCTCCTGAAAAATTGCTTTAGCATGCCAAAACTCCTATATTTTTTGCGTTGGAGCCCTTGTTTTTTGCAAAATGATTTTTTGGAACGTTACGATAAATTACTAAGAAATTCGTTATGCAAGGTCACTAACGTGAAAATGGATGATAGCCAGTTTTTACAAGCAGTTCTCCCGGCAGCCAAAGGTGGCTTGGGCGTTTCTTCCGCTCGTCTACTCGCTTTACCCGCTTTCTTAGCCTCAGCAGTAGGAGCAAAAGATGCCTTGAGCGAAATCTTTGGTTTGGAGCATGTGGATGGAACCTATGATGATGCGCTTAAACGGTGGTTTGACCTTGGAAAAATTGAAATGGCTCCGGAAAATGAAATCCAAAAAAAATGGACGGAGCCAAT